CTTGTTCAAGTCATAGGTAACACTGATATTTCTCTGATTCAATCTGTACAATCTTTTATACATTGTAAAATAGTTTTCACCATAAAAGGGCATTGCTTGGAAAACAAGCTTTCCATTGTTCTGTTACTTTTTTTAAAAAAACTTAACAGTTCCTACTTGTGTTTTTGGGTATTCTTCAATTTCAACATAGTGTGAGAATTGGTCAATGTTGAGCAAGATAATGCTTAGGTTTATTGCTAAGGTTGCTTCATATAATTGTCAGTGGCCAGCAAGCAATGAGTGTCATAATCCTTATATTCTCAGAAAAGCACATGGTGGGTGAATAGTGATTTACTAGGATGAGTCATCCATGTATGGTTGACCAGACCTTGGCAAGCAATACTGAAATATTTAAAGGTCACGTTAATTGGAGTAGACAAATATACTGTATTTTCCTTCATGTCTGCTGCAGCCTGCAGCTATATTTTTTTGCATTGTATTTTTTTTTAAAGAAAGGTATCTTATTTCGTATCATTTGTGATTTTTTTCAATAGACGTTTAAAAAATTGTTTTCACACGTTATGCCTCAAACGATTAAAAAATATAATTTGTACAAATCAATTAAAATATATGGATATAACAAGCTTGTATACATTTTTAGCTTCCAATTTCTATGCAGCATTTACTGAGAAGGAATAAAAATAAAAATACTTTTTTTTATAGTTGATTAATACAATATTGTGGTAATGATCCATTCACCTTCTCTAGTTTAATAGCTTTAAGGGATGGGTAACTTTCCAAGTTTCTAGTTACCTTGGCCATCTCTGTTCCAGAACATCATGATCTGTTTTCTGGACTCTTTAGAATAAATAAAAGAAATAAAAGAACAGCAGAACCAGCCTTATTTTGTGGAAGAGGAATAGATTTGTTGTTGCTTTTTTAATTTGGGAGTGCTGCAGAGAAAGTTCTAACCCCATCATTCACACCAAACTTTCCCCATTATTTTCTTATCAATATATATGCCCATTGAATTCTTGCTAGCATAGGATAATTTATCTCCAAGGTCTAAGAATAATTGCTAACATTGGTTATCACTCCATTTTCATTTGTTCCAACTCAGGAGACATCAGGAAGAAAAACTATGTAAGCAGGCCCAGAATTCTATCTACCTGTGAGCAGGATCAGGCTTTGAAAATTGAACAGATAGGGGCAGAATTTGGTCTAAGTGAAGAAGCTATTAGGAGGAGGATTGAGTTTGAAAGTGACCCAAATCAGATCAGAAAATGCATCCTGATGGGGAGGCAATCTTGAAACTATTCCGATTCAGAATGGAGCATATGCAGCTATGTGCTTCCCAAAGCGCACACACAAACACCAACAGACACAACACACTACTGCATTTCACAGGAGAAATATAGACTTCTCCTATGGTCACATCCGATGAAAGGATTGAACGAATTCCAGAAACCATGTTCCCCATGCCTTTCCTAACTTTGACATGTTAGAAAATGATTTATTGGGAAGATATTGTGTTTAGGGTTTGGACTCTGTCCATCCATTCATGAGCAGAATAACTGACAAAATAAACAAAAACTAAATTTGGTGGGAAGAGACAACAAAAGAAAGATTGAATTCCAGTGCTTCCCTGTGGAAGATTAAATTGGGCAGCTACTCAGAATGCTACCAATTCCTCCATTCTAAGTCATCTTCCCTCTTCCTTGCTGGTCGTGTAGAGCAGAAGCAGTCTGCTCTGCATTTCCCAGTACACAAGAACAACAAGGATTCAAGCACAGATGCAACACACATCCAGCCTCCTCAAATAATCCTTGGGGAAAAAGTGCACATATGTGTGCACGCACAGAAAACATTTTGTCTATGAAGATTCCAGTCATCCAGATTACCGTTACATCAAAAGTGGTTTTTATTTTTGAAAAGGCAACAGGACTGAATTTTTGAGAAAGAAGATAATGTTTCGCTTCCTATCCTGGTCACAGATAAAACCCCAAGTAACTCTCAGAGAATGTTAAGACCAGCATAGAACTGCATAGAAAACACAATCTTTCCATACACCCCATCCTGTCAGAATCTATCATTCACACACACACACACACACACACACACACACACACACACACACAATTAAACTCAATTATCAGTAATGGTCCTCACATCTTTAACACCATCCAATACAACTAATGAAGCTTTCAGGATAGGAGGCAAAACATCTTCCTCAAAAAAATTGGTCGTTGCCTTTTCAATAAAAACCATTCGATATTTTGTTACACAGAACAAAATATAGGCCGCTTCTGGCAATTGTGGGGGAACATGTGTGTGTGTGGGGGGGGGGGGGAGTTGGAAATCCAGAAGCCATATTCTTCTCCATTCCCAATGATTAAAAATAATGCCTGGCTCCTTCTGAACAGCATATTCTTTCTGATAGGTGATTTTCTATATCTAGAGTAGAAAACTGTAACCCCTCCTATGTTCCAGAACAATTCTCAACAATCTAACCTGCATGACTAATCATAAACTATTCTGGAAACTAAAATTCAGCAATATCTAGAGCAGGGCTGTCAAACTCCCCACCCACAGGCCAGATGTGTCATGTGCTGGCCACACCCAATTTAGCGAAGGGGAAAAGTCCCAATGTCATGTGACGCATGCTGTGATGTGAGTTTGAAACACCCGATTTAGAGAATCAAAGCAAATTGAAAAATTCTGCAAAGAAACACAACCCTTCCATCCTCAACCCACCATCCTGTCAGAACTTATCCTTCCAACCCCCACCATCTGGTCACAACTTATGAAGCTTCTTGGATGAGAAGTGAAATGTCATCTTCCTCAGGGAAAACAGTCCACTTTACTTTTGAAAAAGCATCTTTGAGACAACTATGACCTGGATGACTGAGAATCTCCATAGACACTTGGGAGAATCAGTTTCCTCACATGCTCTTTTGAAGTTGTCTACTTTGAGAGTCAGGATGAACTTCAAGTATAATTACAGCCAGTGAAAGTATAGACAGATAATCTTTATTACTGTCACTGACCAGCAAAGTACTGAGATTATAATGACATGTGAATAAGGTGAAAATGCCTTATATATTCTATAGCAGTGATGGCGAACCTTTTTGTTGTGGTGTGCTGAAAGCGCGCACGCGCGCTGGCACCCACAATGTGGCCTGCCTCCCCTGCGCATGCCTGCGCAACACCCCCACCCTATCCGCTTACCTGCACTGCATATGCGTGCGCCTCCCAGCTGATTTTCAGCCCATTTGAAGCCATTTTCGCCCTCCCAGAGGCTTGAGGGAAGCCTCTGCAGCCTCAGACCACCGAAAAATGGGCCTTCTGGAATGGAAGTGCCCATTTTCAGCCCCTGGAGCCCTCCCAAATTCGCCCTCCCAGAGGCTCAAGGGAAGCCTCTGGAGGCTGAAAACAGGTCCATTTCGGCACTTCTGATATTTCCGGAAGGCCTGTTTTTCAGCCTCTCGAGGCTTCCCTCAAGCTTCCAGGAGGGCAAAAATGGCCTCAAACAGGCCGAAAATCAGCTGGGAGGCACATGCTTGCACAGTGCGGGTAAATTTGGCTGGGGCTTACATGCCCACACAAATGGCTCTGCATGCCACCTGTGGCACACGTGCCATAGGTTCGCCATCACAGTTCTATAGTAGGACAGAAAAAGCCAAAACAAACGATGAAACAAGGATATTCCAATATACTGTAGATCATTTTCTTCTCTGATCCCTCCTAGGGTTCCTTAACTAACTTAATAACAAGCAGAAACAGAGCCCATCACTTGTGAAATCCCTTAATGCTGGAGCTAGTATATTTTATACCTATAGACTGCAGGAAACATTCCTATAACTTTCTAGCTCCTTGAAAACCCTGACCTGGGTTCTTGGAAGGTATTTTTTGTTTTGATTGGCTAATCTATAACAAGCTATAAATGTGAACACTGTTTTTTTGTTTGCTTTGCATGGCTCTGTATCTAATTTTTTTGATATAGAGATCCTCAAGAGCTGCCACTACTCATACGTTAGGCTATGACGGATAAGTTTAAGCACAATTTCATTCAGTATAAAGACAAACTGGAAGATAGACTAAAAAGCAATTATAAACCAAGTGCTCCTCATGGGGCAGCTGGAGTGAAGATGAGGACATGGGACCAAGTAGTAGAGGGAAACTGGATCTAATTCTCCTTAATTCAGATCAAGCTCCATGCAGTTGCTTTTCGCCCCAAGAAGAAAACTACTGCTATTAATGGCAGCAGCTTTTTTTCAGAAGAGAAAAAAAAAACAGTTTTGGAGGTAGACTAATATAGGAACAAAAGTTGCAGTCTAACATTATGACTTTCCCATTCCAGGTTATGATCACTGTAGTTTCCACTTGCATCAACTTAGCAAGCATGTAATGGGCGATTGTGTGCTTATCACTTATTTAGCCCCAAGTTAGTATTGATGTGAATTGTATTTAGCATAATTTTACCACACGTATAAGAAACTAAATTGAATAGAACCTTAAGTGAGACTGTGTGCACTTTTAGTTGTGTAACACGAGGCAACTTCTCCAGGAAGCCACCACCATCTTGATTTGCATTAACTTTTAATACATTTAATTTCTTCCCTTTCACTGGCCACATCAAGACAATATCTGGAAGTCAGTCAAAAAAAGACTTCATTTAATAAGTGATACATAAAAACTTTTGCATAGAAAAAAGGGTTACCAAAATAATGAACAGTTTGCCCCTCCTCCAACTAGGAACAGTATTTTTAAAACAAATATTTTAAAAGTACATTTGTATAATGTTTAACATTCTGTTTATTGCTTTCTCCACACAGCAGAGAAATGAAGTGCATAATACATGCTGTGCTTTCATTTAACTTGCCCTCCCCCATCATTAACTCTAGCTCTTGAGTCAATGAATAAAAATACTTGTGTTATTTCATGTTGCTGTAATAATAACAACAACAAAGCAAAACATCTTTATAGTACTGCTTGTATGGGTAGTTAAAAAAAACACGTAACTTAACATTTTCTGGATTGGGAATTGAACCCGTACAAAAAAAGAAAAAACAGGAAACCAAATGGCAGCAACAGAAAGTAACCCAAAGGTTCACGTTGCTGCTACTACAAGGCTACTACTTTGGTGGTCTAGCTCCTTCCAGATCTCCTGGAATGCAATTGCCCTAATTTTTCGGGTACGTATGGCCAAAGAGAACCAAACTGAGCTCTAATGAAAGCCAGTTTTCAATCAGATATGATTGAATGGAAGAAAAGAAAATGGCCAAAGGGTAAAGTATTGTAGCTATTTAATTATACCTCTTTCTGTGACAAAAAAAAAAAAAAGACTCTAAAGGAAGCTGTTTCCCAGCTTGCAAAAATGAACCAAACATATCAGCTGTGACTCTATCAGAATGCATCAGTATAGAACTGGTAGTCAACTTATGCACACTTAGGCATAATTTGACACCAATAGTTTTACAGAAAGTGCCGGGAGGCTTGTAATTTCTTAAACCACACTGAAAGTTTAGTGCTTTTATCAAGATTACATTGTAGACATTTGATAGATCCGCACAATGAAGATAAACTAAATGAGATTAAGTATATACAATCTCAGCTTCTTAAAATTCAACTCTGCATACACTTAGTTTGGTGGAGTCCCACTGATGCTAAAGGACTGCAACCTTACTATGCGCAGAAGTATTTATTCAGAAATTGTATCCCTATTCTGGATCTTATTATCCAATTCCAAATTCTATTGTTTCTTCTCCGGCTTCATTTTTTATGCTTGCCTGGTGGTTTAGCTTGGGGGGGATGGTGAATGCAAAGAAACACATATAAACACATTGATTATTCAGAACAGGGCAAGCACTTAAGCATTTAGGACAGCGTTTGTTTTTCAGGAAGATTTTGTGAAGTATATTCCACCACTTCCTTGGCAAATAAAAATGCATAGCAAGAACATTAATGGTGACACAGGATATCATTTGAAGACCACTGTCATCCAGTATGAGGTCTGATTCAAGCAAAGTAGAATAAAACCTCCATTCTGACGATTCTTATGGCAGATTTTGCTCGCTCTTTCTCTATTGTGCCTTGAGCATCCGTCTGGCTCCTTGAGCTGTTCGTCATCTAAGCTTTGTGCAAGAGCTTTCTGTTCTAACTGCAGAAGAAGGGAAAATCTAGAAAGCTCCAACTTCAGTACCCCAAGGTCGGTAGGGTTTAGTGTTTCCATTATTGCCGGGTTGTTGAGAGTTAGCAGTTGCCGAAACAGATAAAGGAGGGCTAATAGCTGTAGCAGCTGCCACGGCCGCTGCAGCACTCGGGGGGAGCATTGGGAATGCTCCAGCGAAAGACAGAGGGAAACTGTGAGCTGCTGCCGCTGCCGCAGCATGCACTGTGGCAGAAAGCGAGAGGAGAGAGGTAGAAAGTGGTGGGACACAAGGAGCGACGCTGCCCGCTGAGGGCACTCGGAGGGTGGAATCGGCATGGGCAAAAGTGGCGGTGAGAAGAGCTGAGCCATGGGAAGGCACTTCTGAGGCTGTGGAGAGTCTGCAGGGGGAGACGTCAGAGGGATGTAATCCATTCTGCTGCAATAAAGCCGTAGGGAGATGATGGAAAGCAGCTGCCCAATGATGAGGGTGCAGTGGATGGTGATGATGCGCCATGGAAGAGGTCATGGCAGCGGCTTCCCTCTGAGAAGCACACGAGCTGAGATGGGAAACTAGTCGGACTCGTAGGGGGTCTGCCGTGTCCAGACCTTCCACAGAACTCAGGTATCTTGCAACTTCGGTTAAACATTCTCGAAACCCAATGCTAATGAAATCCATGGCCAAAGCATGAGCATCAAAATAACCTGGAACACAGAGGAAAAATATATTTAACTATCAGATTCTTCCTTTGGTTTTTCTTGTAAAGCACAGGCCGGAATACATATTTTAGTTCTGAAATAGGTTTGTGAAGATGGCCTGTAAATTAACCTGGTAAAGTTGTCATCTTAGGGATAAATATTTTTTTAAAAATTGGTTTATTTAAAATTGTACTTCTATTATGATGCTTTTGACCCTGTAACTAATAAAAGCCCATGTCTGCATCAAATACTTACAAACACTATTAAATTTGAGTATAGTCCTCGACGTACAATGACAACTGAGCCCAAAATTTATATTGCTAAATGACAAATTTGTTAAGTGAGTTTTGTCCCATTTTACGACCTTTCACTGCAGCTGTTAAATTAACAACATGGTTAAGTGAATCTGAAGCAATAGCAATATTTTTATTAAAGCAATAAAAATAAGTAGATCTAAAACTAGAGTTTCCTCCAAAAAAGGTAATTCTGAAAAAAATTGATTACACATTCCTGCTATTAAAAGAATAGGGCTTAAACAATTCTCAATGGCTTCTTTTAAACAAAATATCAACTCCTGAAAATGAATTGAATTGTCTTTCTTTGTCAAACTCTACTATTTTTGTACACTAATTGCTATGTTCTAAATCACTAGCATAAGCCTAGTCACTTTTTATGTAAAGCAGCAATCAATGTAGTACCATGGATTAGGACTAAGCTATGTGTTAAGAAGGGACTCAGTGACTCAGTGGCTAAGACGCTGAGCTTGTCAATCAGAAAGATTGGCAGTTTGGCGGTTTGAATCCCTAGCGCCGCGTAATGGAGTGAGCTCCCGTTACTTGTCGTAGTTTCTGCCAACCTACCAGTTCAAAAGCATGTAAAAATGCAAGTAGAAAAATAGGGAACACTTTGGTAGGAAGATAGGAGTGTTCCATGCACCTTCGGCATTTAGTAATGAGACGTCTTCAGACAGCGCTGGCTCTTCAGCTTTGTAACAGATGAGCATTGCCCCCTAGAGCTGGAAATGACTAGCACCTATGTGCAATGGGAACCTTTACCTTTACCTACGTATTAAGTTTACTTAATTCAAGAGGATACATGGCATAGAGAATCATAGATCCCTCCCTACAGAATCATAGCCTAAGTTGTGTCCCCAGAAATACTAGAAAAGAAAAATAAATCTAAAAAACCAATGTCTTACTTGTAGCTATTTATATAGCACTTTTGTTTCTTGTTTTCAAATCCCCGTTTTTATACCCTAAACATGCAACTTACTCAGAAGTTAAACCAATGGGATTTGAAATACATATATCACATGTTATCCTTTTCCAATATGGGAAAAAGAGCCCAATATGATCATAAATTCGCAGGTGGAGACTAGTAATACAACTCTTTGCAATCATTTCTGTTAGCAAGAATGGAAATCACATGAACGAGCTGGTGGATAGCCATAATTTCTATAAAATAATTCCTGATAAAATGATTGCTGCTTAGACTAATGAAATTCATAAATCCCCTTCTTCACAGACAAGCTACACAAGAAAATATAATTAGCTTGAAAATACCCAGTTTTAGAAATACAGTAAACATTGCAGAGATGATGCATTCTTTACATTGCCTTTATGCAAATTGTCAAAAAGAATCGCCGAAGCATATCTCCTTTATGTGTATTAGTTTTGCCCCCACTCTTCATAAGATTTGATAAACCTTATGAAAAACAAGACTATGGAATAGAGATATAATTGCAGCAATGAAAACTAAAAACTGCTCCTAAATGATTCTGATCAAGCCCTGATCCACGAATCATCATCATCATCTGTGGAGTGTTCAAAGCACGTCATACATTTATTTTTTGAGTGCTTAAAACATTTCAAAACTGTTCTCTAAACCACATAAAGCCACATTCTGTACTACATTCCCAATTCTACAAGAGAAACGTGTCAGCCCACAAAAAAGTCAGGACCTACGGTGGATCTTTCCCCCCTTTTCCCCAGTAATATTGAGTTTCCTCTTTAGCTAACCCACACCCAGAAGATGCAAACTTAGATGTTGTTCTGGTTATGAACGGCGCAGTCTAATTTTTCATGGAAAACATTCTTTCTAGAACAAAGGCCAATGCATAAACAATACAGAAAGTTTCCTCTGGATCCACTTCCCGTGGTATAGCAACTGCATAATGAATTTTAAATTTGGTTTTGTTTCATGCCTCACAATAGTGGCCGCAGCCCTTTTTGTTTATGTTTGGGGTATTTGTTTTGTCTCTCTTGTGCCGATTGCTGTGCTCTTTGGAAACCCCAAATAGATCTCTGACTGGACTGCTTCTGAATGGAGCCTTTACTCTCCCACAGTGTTATGAAAGCCAGCACAAGCTCAGGGTCAAGTGCTCCTTTTGTCCCAGTAGTTCTTTCCCATGAGTTCAACCCTGCCTTGAGCACCAATTTCCACTCCTTTAATCTAGAACTGCCAGGAGTGTTTGCAAAGATTACCCCTGCTCTCATTAGAAAATCAGTTCCTTACCTTTCCCTCCTGTTGCCTGGAGCATCTTCAAATGATCCACCGTCATTTGCAGGATTTCTGCTTTTTCTAATTTGGCAGATCCCTTTGAGATAAGAGGCACAAACAATAAAGGCTTAAAAGTACTGTGTGCTTTGATTTGGTATCCTCCCTTTTGAGCTCCATCTTATGGTTTCAATTTTCCCAACCATTAGAGCAGTCTCAGTTTAATTCTTCTACTGAGCATCTGTATTCCAGACTTTACTATTACACACAAGCACTATATATCACACTGCATAACATGACATATATAAATGCATGTGCTTCTATGGAGCGTGGAAAAGCAATGATAATATAGTGAGCAGAGCTATATAGCTCAGTATCAGACTCAGCATACAACCCTATGCAAAACATTTGCAAAATCCACTATGGATTTTTTGTATGACCAAATGAAAGAAATAGAAACTGCAGTAAATGATGGCAATATTTCCTGGTGGAGGAAAACTTCACACCAAGGGCTCCCTTTAGAGTTGGAATAATGGGGGAAACACACCTGAAGCACCAGGACACGATTAAGCCTGTCTCATTCATAGGATCAAATAATGGGACATATCTTGGGAAAACAAGCAAAGAAAGATAGTGTCTTGGCATATTTTTCTGGAGGTCATGTGCAAGTTGGGAAAAACCTTTAATCATTTTCTCCCTACTTAAATATACCAATAAGCGAAAAACCTCCTAATCTAGCATGTTTTGGATATTAATAATAATTTAGTACCATTAGTTAAGAAACTGGTTCTAACTCATTCCCGTTAGTGATGATGCCATTTAAAGTTCCTTCTTTCTATTAACTATCCAATATCTTTCATTGTCTCATTTTATTGCATAATTTCATAAAGTTTTGCGTTAAACTAGTAATAACTTTCTCTTCTAAATGTAACTGGAAATCATGCAAGTTTGCAAATGAATATTCAAGTAATACCCCCAGTCCAGAATAGACACGCAACATTTCTTTGGATGAGATTATATCAACTTTCCATAGCAATACAATTAAAATAAACAGCCATTTTAGATCAAGATAAAGCAGCTGTAATGATCTGGTTTCGGTTTATTTAAAAATTCAAAAGGATCTTATTTACATTAAATTTTACTGTTATAAAGTGTGCACGCATGCACACATGTGTGCTGGTATTTAAATTCTTTTTTAAAATTTAGTTTACCCTATATTCCTCAAATTACATTTTGTCCTCTTCTCAATATTAATCTTTTTCATATAGTGCAGAATTATAACTACTTGTTTCTGAGTCATTTCCAAGGTCTTAGAAAGCCTTGTTTTACAATGTTTGTGATTTTATAAAAGTAAATAATGTACCGTAATTAATAACTGTTGGCTCTTGTCCTGGTTTCTTTGACTGACCAAAAACACCTCCAAAATAGACCCCTTTGCAAATTGCTCAAGATAAAGCAAGGCCACCAGGAATGAAGTTTTACACATTTGTTGTTAATTTTGTACATTAAGTTACAATTAGTTTATTACCTCATATCTACATTCTGTGTACAATCTGTTCTCTAACCATAAAATAAGCCACCACTTTCTACTTGAGTCAAAGAACACAAGAAAGTGATCTGAGGCCTAAGCCACAATATTTATTGTATTTTTAATGGTACAGCTTTCTTAGTGGGGCGCCACTTCCCTTACAAAGTGAGGAGGTAAATGCCAATAGTAACTGAACTAAAATGGGATCAACTGGAAAAATAATGGGGAGGTCCCACCATGGTTGTGACTTTTCCGGAAATACATCAAAAATAGATATAAACACTGATATAAAAGAAAATGTAACTACCCTAGAACAATGAATACAAAGGACGCTCATTAGATAAAAAATGTTAAAAGCTATTTGCTAAAGAAAATTAGGAAGCAAAAGTTGTGGTGAAATTGAGTGGAGTATACAGAATATGTGGCTGAACTGAAAGTCTTAAAAGCAGGATGTAAGATCTTATTAAGTTACTTACAATGCAAAATTCATGCTTACTCACTAAGTGAAATAATCTATAGTAAATGTTCCAAACTGAAACACAAATATTTCTAATGGTAGTTTATATTTTCCTATATATCCTTACAGCTTTAAAGTGTAAGGCATACATTTCCTAAAATATCAGTCCCTAACCTATGACCTTCTAAATATCTCAGAATACAAGTCTATAATCTCTACCTAACATAACAGATGAAAGACCTACTCAATAAGTAAGGGAAGTTTTTTTTTCCAGTTAGAAGATCTTTTTGGATCACATAGATCACATGTTGATTGCATACAGGTTGATCACTAGGTATGATATAGCATTTCTTTTTTGTGGGCAAAGGCAGAAAACCTATCATTAAACATGTATTCTAATACAGACATTTATGCTGTAAATTGTCTAGTGATAGAATTCTAAATAATTGAAACTGCTGATTTATTGAATCCTCTATTTTCTGAGGTTTAAGTCATAACCAGAATTGACGATGTACCCAAAACCTCCTAACCTACTATTGAAAATTACCATAGTTAAGAAATCATTATTTTCTTTACTTCACAAACTTATCAAGAGTTTTATTTTATTTTCTAACATGTAGTATAAATTGTTTCTGCTATCTAAGCTGATTCAGGATCCACCCATAGATCTGGGGTTGGTGCTTATTCACCTCTTCAACTTGTAGAGTTTTTGGCTAATTGTCAATTATTTTGGGAATAGAGAGGAGGGCAGAGGGATGAATAAAATTTGTCTTTCAAATCCAAAGTTATTTCATTCCTTATGATAATTCAGAATAATCTTTATTCTGAACAATTGTAATTTTTAATCGGGTACTTATTATATTTTTGAAGAAAAGTACATGGTACTCAGAAATTAAAGGCTGAACTGATTGCATCAGTTTTTCTAAAATGCCCTGAACTAATTGTTTTTAAAGTTTTTTTTAAGGTAAGGAAAAACTATGCAAAACAATGTTAAACGTTTTATTTCCCATCGTGCCATGTATCTTTCAAATTAGCATGCTAACATAAAAGAGGAAAATATTTACTTTGTTTGATTGCTGGGACAATTCTGAAAGTAGAATATTAGTCCTATTTCGTGTGAACCTTTTGGAAAAATTTCCATTTAAAATATTGGTTTTGGGTCGTTTCAAATATAGCATGATTAACACACATTACATCAGAATTTTTTTCTATGCCTTTTAAAAAATCCAGCCAATTATAATGACTCTTAAAATACTAACTGGGCTAGATAAATTAATGGGAAAAATACAATGCTATTACAGAATTTATCCAGAAGACAACTTGCCATATGTTTAAAACTTTACCAGATAAAACAATAGAAATCACTATAGAAAAATTTCCCCCATCCACCCAGAAACAGCATAGGCATTCTTGCTCAAAGAAGTAGTGAATAAAAGAATGAAAATATTTTTCAGCTTTGAGGAGAGTTTTGCTTTTCATCAATTTGCCACAACATTTTATTGAAATACCTGCTCCACCAGATCGGGCACATCCAGTCTTTCATGAGCTTTATGAAAGACACAACAAAATGACATACAGGATCGTTTATTTATTACACTTACTTGTTTTTCAAAAGCAGTTGGTACAAGTCGCCTCAGTTCGGATAAGCTGTTATTTATACGATCACGGCGCCTTTTCTCTATAATCTATTCCAATAAAAACAAAAAGCATATGTTTATGTAAGCATTAAAACTATAGGCAGAGCAAATATTTACACAACTGCAAATGTTACATTACAAATACACTGGAGGGAATTCCTTACCCCTCTTCTTTTTTTCCTGGCCATAATCTGAGATGTGGTGGTAGGAGAATTTGACCGGATCACAGAACTGGCATTAGGCCTAAGAAACAGTTGAAAAGGCATGTCAGGTATTGCATCCCATTGGTGCATTTTTTCTTACAAAGAGTTAATCTCTCCCCACCCTCAGAATGGATCCTTTAACGCAAACTGAAAACAACATAAACACAAGTTTAAACAATTCCCCCTCACCATTTCTTTTAAATTAGCAAGCCACAATGTGTCTTTTTTAAAAAATTGTTTCAGGCAGTGATTAGGAGAGATCATTAAATAATAATTAAACTGACGATCATATACTTAAAAGAACCCTATTATTAAAATTCTGAATATGAGAGTACTCCAAGCTGCCGCTGACAATGCGTTTTGTATTAAGACACAATTACTTGAATCCAAAATCCATGTGCCTCCTTTTCTCTCCAAACGGCACATATATAGCAGAAATAATAAAAATGTTTATTTACAAAATATACAGAAATTGTGGCCTCAGAAAAATAGAGTCCTATTCTGTATATTTTACTGAGCATTTTAAATACAGCAGAATATATGACCAATGCAAGGCATATATTTCTTGATAGAAATTACATCCAGGTATAAAAGATTAGGAACAAGACTTCATACAGAAATCTGAACATTTCAAGAAAATCTATGGAACTTATTTTTCAATTTATACATGTTGAGGCATAAATTCTGCATTATAAATGAATATGTGAAATTAGTTTGTAAATGTAAAGATGCAATAAACACACATGACAAATATATAATATGAAGTGTACATTTTTTGTAATTCATCTATTTAGACAATATTATAGACTCCTGTGCTTGCTTTGTCACACCCTATTATTTCTCTTATCCATTTAGCACAACTCCTTTATTCAGTTACATTCACTTGAATTAAATTTTCCCTTAGGACAAAGTTCCTTAATCTACTTACATTTACTTTCTGACTTTTAAGACTACTCTAAATTGGGTTTAAGACTTTCATAAAGTAACTTAATTAAAACTAATTGTTCAGTTAATCTGCACTAGCTAATTTGCTGTGATCAGGTGTGAGTTACTAACCTGTGCAACACATATAATTATACTGGCTAACATTAATTGTCTGATGCTTTGAAGCAAGGAATCAATAAAGATTAATTTCAAGTGCATTATGAAAGGAATTTGGATTCACTACATAATGCTAGACAATGATCTACAAGTGGAAAACACTACTATCTCAGCAAACTTAGAAAAAAAATAGTTACTAGCTGAAGAAAAATAAAATTGATTTCATAACCAACTATATGTAATTTTACTGTTATATGTTCTCATAAATTATTAATTACAATATATTTAAAAAGCCTTACAATGCTACAGGCACAAAATATAATACTTTTAAAATTGTATTATTTTCAAAGAAAATAAAGGAAACATGACCCCTTTTTCTTTTCCAGGAACTAGTGATGTTTTAATGTCTGTAGCTGAATAACCAACTAAAATTCCAAGGCTGACTGACAGCACTCTTATAAGGACATCTTACTGTGCCTTTCTTCAATCACTGGATCACTGACATCTCAGAGTCTAAAGACTGTTAAACAAGCAGGAGAACATCATGCAGTGATAGATTTAGTTGAGCAAGCCTTGTTCCATCTTTCAAAACAGTGTCTTCTCTTATTTTAAATAAAATGTAAAATATAATAAATAAAAGGAAGAGATTCAGTTATTAGAGATTTTAACTTCCCTAATAACTGAATCTCTTCCTTTTCTGTTGAATTTCTTACCACCCATCCTTTCTAGAAGATAAATCCAGAATGCTTCCAGTCATACAACTCAAACTACTAGTCACTATGCTTCCAGGCATACAACTCCAACTACTTAAGGCACTTGTGGAGCAAACCATTGCATCTTTTATAGATAAATACTACATAACTGAAAAGATGGAGAGGGCATCTGAAATAACAAAGAGCCTTAAAAACAGAAGATAAAAATATGGACTGCCTGAAACATTATATGTCAGCTTTATAAGCACCTTCAGGCAATGTGGTTTCTAATACATCCTCTCACTTCTCAAGTCCACGTGTAGAAATTCCAGCAATGCACATCACTTAAGGTTTGCAAGATATAAATCCACATCCAAGGGCTTTTTTGACATCATCTAGTAACCGCAGGAAAAAACAGCCCTGCCCTTTACTTGCAGAATAGCATCTACTCATTCCCTTGCTACCCCTAAAGATGTTCATTGCCTTCCAGTGTTACTTCTTCCTATTGCTTTTTCTTTACTATGCTCCGAAATAAAACCCATAGCTTCCTCTTTTTCCAATACTTAAAAAGGTAGCTATGATTTAAAAAAAAAACTCTTGCTACCTGCCTTTCTTCTTCCTCTGCCCAAACGACAGTCTTATGCAGGGTCATCGTGAACATCTGCATTTGGAAATTCGGCTGAAAAACGGCACCAGAAGGGTAAGTGAAAGTATAAAGGAAGACGTGGGCATCTTAACGTAGGAGCCATGAAGTTAGAACGCAGCAACGTGCAGCCCAGTGGATGAAGGCAAGAATGGCTTAGTCCCTGTCCCAAACATCCACAGGGAACAACCAGAGTCCATGACGCTCAACCAGAGGTACTTGCACTCCTAAATTCCCTCCCCTCCCCCCTTGAGCTGCAAGAAAGAATAAGCACAGGCTTAAAGTTTAAAGGGGGAAAAAAGCCTTTTTCTTACCCAGAATAATTATTTTCGCTCCCCACGTCTATAGTCTCGTCCATGTCGCTATCTGAGGTAGTGTCCTCGCAAGGTCGCTTCATCGTCGCCAAAGGAGACAGTCCAGCTTCCAAATCAGGAGGTAAATAGCAAGGACTTGGGGTTGTGAATAGGCTTTTTTTTTTTTTGGACAGTCTCTGGATTGAGCCCGCCTATCCCCACCCCCCACCCACCCCAAGCCGGCGCCAAGAAATCGAACGGATTTCTGAAGCTCTTTCCCACGGTGCAGCTCAGCCTCAAGCTCCAGGCCCCGCCCAGCCGGCGAAGTCACTCCCCCTCTCCCCGGGAGAACCACTGGATTGAGCAAGCGGAGGAGTGAGTGACAGGCCTCCTTGCCAAGTGCTTCTGTTCCCTTCTTCATTGGCCGAATGAGCCGAAGCGGTGGCAGGGCCAAGCTCTCCCGGGTGTCTTGGAAGCGTGGGAAAGCCCCGAGCGCCTCTCGCGCACAAGGGAGACGGGGGAGGGAAAAGGGGGTGGGAGGACGGCGGGCTGGCGCTGGCTGGGAGGCACCTTCAGGTCTACACATCCCCGGCTGGATGGGGACAAGCCAGCTTGGGCAGGAACCTCGCTCCTAAGTATGCGTGCCTGCTGACTGCCTCGCGAATGCCGTGCGCGCAAAGAGGAAGCGTGCACACGGACTTGCAAAATGCAAACAGATTTTTTAAATGTCGTTCTGCGCAGACGGTTGGCGCGTTTGCTTGCACTTTTTAAACTTTAACCCCAGGGGGGAAATGGCATGAAAACTTAAGCTATGGCACGGCTAGGAACCAGTTAATACCTAGCAAGTTTTCGGATGCGAGCATCTATTTCTATATTGGAGGCACAGAATAAAGAAAAAAATGGAACATTTCTAGAGACAGATTAACACTACATGTACACAAGCACATATACAGACACACTTAACACGGGATTGGTTTGCCTATCCTTGTCCCTTTATTTTTACAGTGATTTGGATCAACCGTTTCTTTTCCTCCACTGAATTCTAAGCACCACACATCTGAAAATATGACTTGACTTTAAAAAAACAAACAAACCAAGGCCATCCTTTCTCAAGCAGAGAAAAGCTTAAACTAGAAGGCAACAGTGAGTCCACTTTTGGAGCACTTAATTTGGAAGGTGCCATAGCTTTGAAAGATTCTATAGGATATTGCAGTAGGAATGGCTACCTTAAGAAAATAACCCAGTGGATAAAGGTAAATATCTAGAAATAATATAGTTGCCTCTTCCAAAGAAATGGGGTCTATTTTCAGGAGTGCTTAAGAATATTAAATGGACAGTATCACAATTAAGAAAAGCCAAGCAATTTGCTTGTTCCGCTTTTCATTTTGCTTTATTTCAGCCTAAGTCCAGCATCTTGCTTTAAACTTAACCTAGCATTTTCCACCTTGCAGGCATCTTCCTATACTTTCCTCACAACTTCCATTCCATTTGGTGGCCAATTGCATTCAGGATCAAAGGCGCTATGTCCTGGAATCAGGCTGCTCTCAACTGGGAAACACATTGACAGGTGGGGTGTGTCCCCGCCCCCCAGAGCAGTCCTTCACAGGAGCAAGCCAGGGATACATTGTGGAAAGAGAATAAAGGGGATGGGATGACCAAGGTGCTATTATGTCATGCTGCTCATTGCCACCACCGCTGAGGTTGGGTAAATGTGCCTTCCCTTGTCGATTGATTCTGGGGGGGGGGGGGGGGGGGAGATGCTTTAAGGTGTGCTTGAAAAGGAGACAAGGAGAAACGAAGGACGACTAAGGAAAGGAAGAACAGTGGAAAGGAGCAGAGACCCGAAAGAGTAAGCAGGAAGCTGAAGGTCATGTTGCCTCTTGGGAAGAAAATCAAGAGTCCCGGGCATAAACGCAGATGGTGAAGAGTTTGTACAATTAAAAGAGTGATGAGCAAATGCACCCCAAATGCAGGCATTGTGATGAGAAAGGCCCTGCTGAGAAGAACGGGAGACAATGGGCTTGCTGCGGATCTTTATGTCCTTGTTGGCAGCCTCCCTGTGTGAACAGAAACCCAACCCATTTCAGCTTGGCTGGTTTTGGAAATGTAGACTGTTGCACAGCACTACTATCAGGCAGTCTGCCTGTCTTCCAGCAGGCTTATCCTTCAACGCAATTCCGTCCTTCTTTTTTGCACTCCCAACCCTGACAGTGTCAGTTGCTTGGTTTTCACAAGCAACCAGTGAAGGGATGCTGGATGCCCTCAGAGGTGTTATGCAGCAGCTGGCTTTATAAAGGTGATAAGAAGCCTGCAGTTGAAAACTGGAAGGCCTCAAAGTTAGGAGGGAGTAGTGGCTGGAATGTAGGCTTTGGCCAACATTCCTCAACAGATCCTGAATGTTCTACTGAATGCATGACAAAAAAAATCAGCCCCCTGCTCAAGTCTTTTGCCCCATAATAGCTCTATAGAAGGCTCTTGGGGGGAAAGTGGCACCTACGACTCCTTGATTCCCAGATGAATTATTTGCCCTTCTTCATATTCAATCACAAACATCAAATGTGTTTGTGAAATTGGGAAGCTCTCTCTCTCACACACACACACACATAATGTGCCTGTGTGTGTGTATATGTACACTGTGGCATATAGATAAGATGAAAATATTTTTTTTAAAAAAAATCTAATAGAATGGAATAATACAGATTGTGGTAATGAAAGGATCAAACTGTATTTGTCCACTCATATTTCCCTAGCACCTTTAACATTTCCAAATTTGGTAAGAAAGCCTGTTGGTCAATGCACATAAACTAATTCTCACCTTACCTATAAAGTCAGTAAGAATATAAAATATAATTACCGCCTTTACATACATGCATACATACATACATACATACATACATACATACATACATACATACATACATA